GTCAAAGACTGTGTATTATGTAGACTGCTTTTGATTTGTTCAGTAGAGTTATACAGTTTTCTGTACCCTTTAGGTGTCACCACACTATCCCTCTATGTTCCCCAGGCCCAAGCAACCGTTAATCTACTCTCTGTCTCTATAGATTTTCTTTTTCTGAACCTTTTATTTCCGTGGAATCATAGTATACGTGGTTTTCTGTGACTGACTTCTTTCACTTAGCCTAATGTTTTCAAGGTTCATCCATGTCGTGGCATGTGTCAGTCAGTGCTCTATTCCTTTTTTTTTTTTTTTTTGGCATATTATAGGGGTACAGATTTTAATGTTTCAATAAATGCCCTTTCCCCCTCTATTCCTTTTCACGGTGGAATAATATTCTATTATTTATCCATCTGTCACTTTTTGAACATTTTAATTGTTTGCACCTTTTGGCTAGTATGAATAATCCTGTTATAAACATTTTGTGTTCAAATTTTTATGTGAACATATGTTTTTATTTCTCTTGGGTAGACACCTAGAAGTGGATAAATTTACACAGGGTTTATGTTAAATTTATGTTTAACTGTTTGAGGAACTGCCAGACTGTTTTCCAAAGTGGCTATACCATTTTACATTCACATCAGCAGGGCATGAGGGTTCTAGTTTCTCCACATCCTCATCAGTGCTTGCTACCATCTGACTTTTTGATTATAGTTATCCTAGTGGGGTGAAGTATCAGACTGTCGCTTGGATTTGCATTTGCCTCATGATGATAATGTTGAGCATCTTTTGTATGTTTATTGGCTATTTGTGTACATTCCTTGGAGAAATGTTTATTCAAATCTTTGGCCCATTTTTAAGTCAGGTTATCTGTCTTTTTATTATTGAGTTATAAGAGTTTTTTTTTTTTTTTTGAAACAGAGTCTCATTTTGTTGCCCAGGCTAGAGTACCATGGTGTCAGCCTAGCTCACAGCAACCTTAAACTCCTGGGCTCAAGCGATGATCCTTCTGCCTCAGTCTCCTGAGTAGCTGGGACTACAGGCATGAGCCACCATGCCCAGCTAATTTTTTCTGTATATTTTTAGGTGTACAGTTAACTTCTTTCTATTTTTAGTAGAAATGGGATCTCGTTCTTGCTCAGACTGATTTTGAACTCCTGACCTTCAGCAATCCTCCAGCTGCAGCCTTCTCAGAGTGCTAGGATTACAGGCATGAGCCACTGTGCCGGCCTATAAGAGTTCTTTATACAAGTCCCTTATCATGTATATGATTTGCAAATATTTTCTTTTATCTCCAATTGAGTAGTTGTCTTTTCATTTTTTTGATAATGGCCCTCTCCCCTTTTTCTTTTAAAGACAGGGTCTTGCTTTGTTGCCCAATCTGGAATGCAGTGACTGTTCATAGATGCAGTCACGATGCATTACAGCCTCAAACTCTTGGGCTCGGCAATTCTTCCACCTCAGCCTCCTGAGCAGCTGGCATTACAGGTGTCTGCCACCATGACTGGCTTGATAACACCCTTTTACTTATAGAAGTTATTTGTTTTGTTTTGTTTTGTTTTTTGAGAGACAGAGTCTCACTCTGTTGCTCAGGCTAGAGTGCTGTGGTGTCAGCCTAGCTCACAGCAACCTCAAACTCCTGGACTCCAGCGATCCTTCTGCCTCAGCCTCTGGAGTAGCTGGGACTACAGGCACGTGCCACCATGCTGGCTAATTTTTTCTCTCTATATATATTTTTTATTTTTATTTATTTATTTTTTTGAGACAGAGTCTCACTTTGTTGCCCATGCTGGAGTGAGTGCCATGACGTCAGCCTAGCTCACAGCAACCTCAAATTCCTGGGCTCAAGCAATCATCCTGCCTCAGCTCCCGAGTAGCTGGGACTACAACGCCACCATGTCTGGCTAATTTTTTCTATGTATTTTTAGTTGGCTGATTAATTTTTTTCTATTTTTAGTAGAGACTGGGTCTTGCTCTTGCTCAGGCTGGTCTTGAGCTCCTGAGCTCAAGCAATCCTCCCACCTCGGCCTCCCAGAGTCCTAGGATTACAGGCGTGAGCCACCACGCCAGGCCTCTTCTTTCCTTTTCCCTTTCCTTTCTTCCCCTTCCTTCTCCCTCTTCCCTTCCCCCTTCTCCCCTTCCCTTCCCCCTTCCCTCCCTCCCTCCTCTTTACCTCTCTCACCCTCCTCCCTCATCCTCTTCCTTCCTTCCTTCTTCCTTCCTTCTTCCTCTTCTCCTTCTTCTTCCCTTCTCTCTCTCCTTCCTCTCTCCTCTCCTTCTCTCCTTCCCCTCCTTCCTCTCCTCCTCCCTTCCTTCCTCTCCTTCTTCTCCCTCCTCGTCCCTCCTCTCCCTCCCTCCTAGCACCATTTGTTGAAAAGATTACCTCATGGAATGGTCTTGACACTTGTTGAAAATCAGTTGACCATAGACACATTGACACATCGATTCATTTCTGCCCTCTCAGTTTTAGTCTATTGATCTATATATCTATGCTTATGCATGTGTTAGACTCTTGTTTACTCTTGCTATGTAGTGAGTTTTAAAATTGAAAGTGTTAGTCCTCCTACTTTATTGTTCTTTTTCAAGAGTGTTTTGCCTATTCTATGCCCTTTGTAATTCCATGAGAGTTTTAGAATCAGTCTGTCAATTGCCTGAGAAACCACCTGAGGTCCTTACAGGGATTGCTTTATGTCTGTAGATCAATTTGGGGAGTAATGCCTTCCTAACAATATTAACATTGGCAGGGAAAGTATGGTGGTGCTGAATTCCCTCAGTTTTATTTGATCTTTCTTGAAATTGTGTTTATTTCTGCTTTATTTTGCTGCGTAATTTCTTTGGATATAAAAATCTAGTTGGTGATTTGTTTTTCAACACCTGAAATATTTCATTACACTCTCAACCTTACTTGTGTGGTTTCTGATGAGAAGTAGTCTGTAATTCTTATATCCTTGTTCCTCTGTAGTTAAGGTGTTTTTTCCTCTGCCTTCTTTCCAGATTTTCTTTCCTATTTAGTTTTCTGCAGTTTGAATGTGGTAGGTTTTTAAGTATTTACCCCACTTTCGGTTTGGGAAGTTTGTCTTGGTATATCTTCAAGATCACTGATTCTTTCTCCAGCCACCTCCTATTGATCATACCATGAAAGGCATTTTCTGTTATGTCACAGTGTTTTAACTTCTGGCATTTCATTTTGATTCTTAAGATTTTTTTTATCTCTCTGCTTACATTACTCATTTTTTCTTGCATGTTATTAATATCTACTTTTTTCTTTATGCCCCTTAACATATTAATGGTAGTTATTTTAAATTCCCTGTCTGATAATTCCCACATCTGTGCCATATCTGAGTTTGATTCTGATGCTTTCTTTGTTTTTCATATTGCGTTTTCTCCTTGCCTTTCGACTTGCCTTGTACTTTTCTGTTGAAAGCCAGACATGTTGTATCAAGTAATAGGAACTGAAATAAGTAGACCTCTAGTGTGAGGTAGTAGGTTAATCTGGCTAGAAACTGGACTGTCTTTAATGTTTTCTGTGTTGTAGGTACCAGAGGTTTTAAATTCTTCCAGTATCAGTGTTTTTGTCTGTTGTTTTGGGGCCTAAGAGCCCCTTCTTCACATCTGCTGCTTGTACCTATTTCCCTGGCAATTCATTGTTAGTGTACTGGAACCCTGTTGGTGTGGTGGGAAAGTGTGGGGGAAGAGGTAGTGTTCTGTAATCTTAAGATTAAATCTCAGTCTTTTAGTGTGTCTTATGTCATTGAGCTGTGAAGTCATTGAGCTGTGCAATTTACAAGTGTTTCTTGGCTTCCCTTGAATGAGACAGGAAGGCTAAATAGAGTGGATAGAGTCTGGGAATTGTCCTTTCTCCAGATTGGATAAGGCTCTGGTAAGGTCTTCTACCCTAGAAAGTAAGTCTTTGAAAACAATTTGGGCTTATTACACAGTGGTTGTTTTTTCCCCTCCCCCTGTCAGAGCCATGGGTCTTGGCTCTTTACGGTGAGAAGCTAGTGGTATTTTGGGAAGTAAAACCCACGAAAGTGTAGGGTCCCTTTCAAGACTGTTGCTCCCTTCCTGGCAATTCATTAGAATTACTATTTACATGTTCCTACCAGTTTATAGCTCCAGTACTTTCTGTTCCTGGGTAAGTAGATCTCCTCTGTGTCTCTGGATTTGCCTCTCTCTCCAAATTTTGGGGCAGTAGTTTGCCATGCGACCTCAGTCCTCTGATGGGTCCAAGAAATTATTGATTTTCAGTTTGTTCAGCCTCCTTTTTTTCCCAGTAACTCATAGTGTATTTGTAAAATAGAAAACTCTCTATGAAAATATACTTTTCACTGGGAAAAATAAATAAAACAGACAAATGGATCTATATAAACATTAACTTTGGTAGATTTCAGTGTAGGATAGCCCATAACAAGCACATTTGCCCTTATTCCCCCAGAGCTGCTCAACTTCTGATTTAAGAATTAAAATAATATTTTTAACTGAGATTTTATTATGTTGACATTTGTTTGTCACAGCACATCATCTTCAGCTAAGTCCTGAGCACTTAGAATTCTCTGCCTAGTTGTCGGGAGCTCAGTCAGAAGCATCTGGAACATTGGCGGTGGAAGAGTTTGCTGTAATACCTACAGTAAGCGCTGTGGCTGTCCACACAGCAGTTATATTTGTAAGATGGTCCACGACCTTCTTATATTCACGTTGAACTAGTAACTCTTCACTGAGCTGTATTTCTTCAAGGAAGAATTTCTGAACAGCTTCAGCCTCTTTAAGGTCAGGTAACTTGTAAAGTTCAGCTCTTTCCTAGGCAAGCTTCTATTTCTTTCTTCGTTTTTGAGGGCTGTTCTTGAAGTTGGGGTTGCTTAGTCTCTTACGATTGAAGTAAATGCAGTACCTGATGAAAAGGGGCCTGCACATATTGACTGCGAAGGCGCGGTTCCAGCCCACCATCTGTCTCTCTTGAACATGGAGTGTGGACGAACCTCAGCTTCTGCCTTGATGTTTCACCATCAAGTATACTTTTTTTTTTCTTTTGATGCCATCTTATTTATTGTTTCAAAGGAAATCCAGTAGTTTCGATGATTTTCCCACTTCTTTCTCACATGAAGAACATTTGTCTTAATAATTCATGATTATTAAGCACACAGCTTGTGCTTCGAGAGATAATCCATGATAAAATGTCTCTAGCAATGTTAGCCTGTCTTGCCGAACCCAACATCTAACAAGGAACTTCTTGTCTTCCATCTGTTTTACTCACACCTTACACTAGAGTTAAATAAGATATGTAAGTGCACTACCCCCCCACCACACACACACAAATTCAACATCATTTTTCTGGGCTAAGTAGAAAAACTAAACAGTAGCATATGTGCCTCCTGTTTTCCTTACTTGAGACAATACAGCAATGTTCACATATCATTGAAGTCATGTGGATCCTTGAATACTTGGGCTTCGAATTCCATCTGGCTCTTTGGATCAGGTAGACATGGTCCAAAAGCTTCCAGTAGAAGGGTCTCTTCTCTCACAGCTTGTTCATAGTCTGCAAAAGACAGCTTCCCGTCATGGTCATAATCCATTTTCTTAAGTGTTATTTCGACCAAATCTTTAATTCCTTCATCAGGGTCTTCTTCAGATGGCTGTTTGAGAAGGCTGTTCTTCAACATGTGAAACATTTCCTCCTTTGAAATGAATCCATCACCATTCAAATCAAACACTTCAAAGCAATATTTCATTTTTTCTTCCAAAGATCCTCGAAGAAACAGTGATAATCCGCAAACCCACTCCGTTACATTTACACAGCCATCATTGTCTTTATCAAAACCTCGGAATACTCTGTCCATTATTATGTCATCAGTCATTCCAAATGTCACGTGCAGGATGTTTCGAAATGCATTACGATCTAGTCCAATGGTTGTTCCTTGCCGCTCTACGCCTTCTCCCACCAAATTATAAAATAACTTTATAAGACAATTCACTTCAAATGTATTAAAATGCTTGCAATTTTTAGTTAAGGTGTCCGTCAACTTCTGCAGCTTCTTGCGGTTCATGGCGGGCGCTCAGAGAAGTGGCGGCGGCGCGCGGCTGCTGGACCCCTCGAGCCCAAGGCCTCAAGTATACTTTTAAGTGTATGTTTTTTGTAGATGTTTTTCATCCAGTTGGGGAAGTTTTCTTCTGTTATTGTTTTTTTGAGTGGTTTTTCTTTTTCCAATCGAGTGGATGTTGAATTTTGTCAAATGTTTTTCTGCATCAATTGATAGGACCAGGTGAGTTTTCTTTTTTAGCCTATTAATGTAGTGGGTTGTATTGATTGATTTTCAAACACTGACCTGGCTTTCCTAGAATATGCCTCATTTGGTTATGGTCAAGTGAATGATCTCATTTGGTTATTCTTTTTATATAGTGTTGAATTCTGTCTGTTAAATTTTGTATCCATGAGATATATTGGTCTGTAGTTTTGTGTACTTTATCTGCTGTTGATATCAGGATATCATAAAATGAATGAGGAAGTGTTCCTTTCTGTTTCATGTGAGAGAATGTATAGAATTTGCGGTGATTCTTTAGTATTTAGTATTGTTTTAGTATTTAGTATTGTTTTCCATTGAATCTTTCTGGGCCTAGAGATTTCTTTTTGAGAGGTATTTAAATCACAAGTTTGCTTTCTTTAACTGGGCTATCCAAACGATCTTATTTTGTATGCCTCAAGTGATCCTACCACCTAGACCTCCCAAAGCCCTGTGATTACAGGCGTGAGTGCCTGGCCTGTGATGAGTTTTTACGATGGCCATGAATCTAGAAATATTTAAATTATATTCTGTATTAGCTTTTTATATTGGCAGATATATTTGTAGAAAGAGTTTCTTCACTGACAGTGATAAACTAATGCATTTCTGTCATTTGAAGCCTAATCTTGAATTAATTTGGAAAATTTATGTGTGAAATAACTCATCAACCAACATTTCAGGGTGTTACTATCATAGCATATTGAGTTCACAGAATCAGTTCTTCAATTTATAGACTAAAGCTTTATTTCTAATTGAAAATCATTTGAGTATTTCTTTTAGGTATTTAGTCCTAAATTGTGTGGACTGCTAATATAGACATTTATTGTATTTAAAAATATAAATTTTAAGTACATATACATACATATATTTACAAAGTTGAAATCATATTTCACTATAGGGAATATTGAAAAAAATCTATTAAAAATAGAATTTCAATCAAGAAGAATGGTTGAGGAGTGTGGTTTTTTAGATTAATTAGATTTTCTGGCTAATTCAGGATTAGGTGTAATGTCCTTTTTGTTGTAATGTTAGAGATTTTCCTAAGTCTGTTTCCACATATATGGCGCCTAATCTAAAATGAGTATACATTGGCTTTGTAAAGCAGCAGCTGGTAATGAATGTCCCCTTCATCCAGACCCTTGCCCACAGTCCATAGATTTTTCTGCTAAGTCCTCCCCACGCTGCACCCAAGACTCCTGGAACCAGTGAAGTCATTATTTAGCTTTCTTAAAATTTTCTAAAATGCTACTTTGTTACCTGCCCAGCCTCACCATAAACTTCCTAATTCCTTTATTGTTTAGAGCATTTCTCAAGTTAGGAATCTTAGGAGATTTTTCAGTCTTTTTCTTTTCTTTTTTAGTACTTGTGACTTCTGCTTGAATGAGTTTTGGTGATTTTTGTCTGAAAACCTAATTCTCAGTACTCATAATTTTCTTTGGCAAAGTTTGGTTGAAGTTCACTTGCCTTAGAAAGCAACCTATTTGTAGGTTGGAATTTTTCTTTTGACCACTAGTATAATTGTTGTTTATTTTACTTTTTTTTTTTTTTTTTTTATTTAGGACTATGCGAGGACTGTGGACTGAACTTGTGTTAGAACCAATGTAGATTTTCAGATTTTGGGTGTGCTGCTGCTTTGCTGATCTTTGGGAAAGCCACTTAATCTCTGAGCCCCAGTTGTTTCACTTCTAGAAGTGGAATTTAAGAGTCGTTAGGTTTAAGTGAAATCCCTTTTGTGTGTGTTTCTGGCACAAAAAGGGGCACTTGGCACTACATTGCTTCTGTTCACTGCTTAGTCACATATATATAGGTCATCTTAGAGATTAGACTTAGCAAGCACAAGTGTAAGGATCTTACTGCTCTGTAAGATCCCATAGATTTTTCTTTTTTTTTTTTTTTTTCACGTCAGACGGGTAATGTGCCGATGTCGTAACAAGGTTTGAGGGAGGCACATCTCACGCATGCGCGTGAAAACCCAATCATCACGCTTATGAACTACAAAAGGATCCCCATAGATTTTTCTATTCAGTGTTTTAGTTTATATATATTGAAAGGTATTCTAAATACTTCTTACATCCATTAGTCACAGAATATAAAAATTTTAAGTGGTTACTGGATTTTTAAACACTTTTCAAAGTTATTAAAAATGTTTTTAGAAAGTATAAAGCAACACCTTTACTTATTTGAGTGCAAAGGTGAGCTTTGTGTTACTCTTTATAATAATTATTAATTAGTAGATTTTGTAATACGATTTTTTTCTTCACATCCCTTCTGTCTGAAAGGGTAAGATGTATTTTTTGCACAGAAACTGAAGTAGGATCATTCATAAATGTGGCTGACAGAACACTACTTAATCAAAGCAACTGGCTTTGCTTTAGAAGGCTGGCTGGCTGAGTTACTGCCAGATTATGGGTTTTCAAGACCTCCCTGCCCCAGAATGCATAACCTGGTATTAACAGTACTTCACTCTTGAAAAAAAAAAAGAATTGACTATTTTGAGATGGCCAAAGTAGGTGTATCTGGTGACTTAATCTTCAGACAATAAAAATGAAAAAGCTGGTAAAACAGAACTGACATTTAATTTAAATAACTAAAAGGAAAAAAGACTCAATATAAAAATAGATTTATAAGAAATTGAATATATTTGCAGTAAGCCCTTAATAAATGTTGCCTATGTACAGGTACTGTATTAATGTGAAATCTGCAGATGGAATATAACATAGCTGTTAGTTTTTATCACTTCCCTCATTAATCTTTTCCTTACTCTGTAACCTTAGCCCGAATAACTAGTAATATGGATTGATTAGTGTTTTAGTTCCATTCCGTTCTCTTACTTATCCTTTACTTTGAGCATAGCATGTACTAAAGGGGAGTAAGAAGGAAAGAAAAAGGATTCAAAAAATCCACCAAAATGATCACCATGTCCACATAATGGAGAGTTATTTGTATTAAAATTGAATTTTATTTCAGTAATATTTTAGTGAAATCCCTGGGAGTGACAAAATCAACAGTGATTTTTTTTTTTTTTTTTTGGTGACAGTAGTTTGACTGTTTCTGGTTTATAAATCAACTTGAAACAGGATTGTGAAAAAACAAAGCCGCATTTAGGCAAAATTGTGAAGTATTTAAACTATGTAGTGTCCTTGAACTTCCCTTTCTTTGTATTTTCCTCCCCTGAATAACATCTTGAAATCTCCACCTTCTGTTTCTACTTTCTAAAGTCATCTTTTTATCAAGTCTCTCTCCTTAATCTACATAGGAGAGAATAATAGTTTTTAAATTTGTTTTTATTTGATTGACTAGTTAGGTATTCAGAAATTCACAAAACTCTCAGAATTTGATGAAAACTGTGAACTTTTTTCTTAAGAAATGTACACTTGCACCAAATTTTGCCATAATTTCAAGGTATCCAGGCACCCAATTTGTCTTAGAGAGTTTTGGACAAAGTAAATGTGGAGGAAAAAATTGATAAAACTTTTAAAAGACAATTTAGTTATAAATGATTAAGTAGAAGGAGATTTGAGAGAGGAGCTAGACTAGCCTGAAATTACATTTAGGTCAAACCTGGAGGTAAAATTGATTTAGTCCTGTTAGAATGATTCGACTTACTCCCTACACCTTCTGCCGTCCAGGAAAAGAACACCTGGTGCTAATGGCTGGGGGTCTTTTCTCAGAAACTGCTCATATTATTAGTAAAAGTGAATACTTCATTATAACTAGCTTTCTCCTACAACGTAGACGATCTCATCAGGCTCCTTCCTCCTTAATTGTTACTAGTTGTGACTTTATGAGGATCTAGCAAAAGACTGTCTTTCCAAGAACATGCCTATGTGTGTATTTATATTTATACATACAGTTCCCTGGATCACAGGCCAGATAAAAGTCCTCTTACATTTACCTTCTTTTACTTCTTCTCTAAATTAGGTCAAGAATCTATTCTTTGACCCTTTTCTCTCCCTTTCCTTTTTTAAGGCAAGTTGTTCTCTCTCCCTTTTTTTAAACCTTTCTTCTAAACTCTACCTGTCCTTCTACCTCATGATTCTTAGATGCATTTGGCTTTATTTTATTTTACATTTAATTATCTTTTTTCTGCTGTAGTCCCTGTGTATTAGTCAGAACTCCTAGTTTTAAGTGCTAGAAACCCAACTGGGAGTATCTTAGGCAAAGGGGGATGTACTGGCTCATGAGATCAAAGCACAGGGAGTTTATTCATTTGGACATTAGGAATGATTGGAACCAGGGCCTTGTTGGATTATCAGGATTTCGTTTTATCTCTCTAGTCTCTCATCTCTTGCTTCTCTCTCCATGATTATGTCATTCTTGCAATGCATTTCTTCCACATGGCTGTAGACAAGTTGCAATTGCCAGAATCATAGCCTTTTAGTTTTTTTTTTTTTTTTTATTAGAGTATCTTGTTTTTCTTTCCTTAGTTCTAATTGAGAAAATCTCAGAGGAGGAGTCTGGCTTGGCGTGGCTTGGCTTGGACCATGGTTATTTATGGCCAGGGGCAGATTGGATCCCATCCAAACTGCCTAGTTGAAATCTGAGGAGAAACAGTTCCTCCAAAGAAGTGGTAGGTAGACATGCTGTTATTCCCAGAATTAGGGAGAGGTGCCAAGCAGACAAAATAGTAGTTGTCTACCATATCCTCTTTTTCTGACTTTCGGTCTCTAGGTCTTCTCACATTATACCTGTTCTGTACCAGAACAGTCACTGACACCAACTGCTGTGAAGTCCAGGGAGGGAGGTGGCAAAGAATAGAGCCCTACACTTATTCTGGTTCACCATAGGAAGTTTTGAAGATCTAGATTTCAGGTAGAGAGAAATTCTATGTACTATAAAATAGGAAGAGTAAAATATTCTCTTTGAATGAGAGTTTGTGCATGTCTTTCTCTCTTCAGATTGTAAAGT